CCAGTAGTGGTTCATACACACACGTGGTTTTATATATTTGGAGTATTTAGAGCAGTGAAAAAATACTAAGTGAAAATGTTACTAAACACAAACCAAGAACTTTAGCTCGCTCTCTGGTTAGCTGGTGAGAGACCCTGCTACGTGGCGCCAGCGAAGCAGCAGAGAAAGCATGTGGGTTCAGTGAGGTTCTACTGAAGGCGGTATTAACATGACTGAGCTGCCATAGTGTGTGCTCAGCCGAGTGTTACGTAACGTTACAGGACTGAGCTGCCGGACCAGTCTCACTGCTGCTAGATCAGGTGTGCCGTATAAACAAGGTTTGTAACACAGCTGAGGCCTCCGGCAGATCACATGACAACAATGACAGCGTTATGATTCCACAAAACACATGTAGCAGGCCAACGCCATGACTCATGCTATCGCTATCGGTAACAAGGCAGATTAATCTAATCTGATAAACATGGGACATAACATTTGGGATCAGTTTGTTTACCCCCCTCCGTCCTGATGCCCCTTATGTTGCCCTGTAAGCTACTGCATCATTGTACCCATGTTAAGGTACTGATTAAGACAGAACAGCGCTAGCTTGTTGCTAATTATATAGCAAGATTGTTTAAAACGACATGTAAGTGTGGACAAGAACTGAAGGTGGCATTTGGTGATTTTACCACAAAACATAATTGATATATTTCTGTTTTTGTATTTGTATTTTCCAAACCAGAACAGCAGTCGTAGGGTTGTGATTGTAACCACGATCTGACATCCGTCCTGTATTCTCCAGCTCTACAGCTACAGCATTGTGTTAAGGTCAGAGAGAATCCGATGGGAGTTTCTCCCAGTCACAGATTTCACAGTTACCAAACACCACGGCTGTAAAAAGGCTGATATTGTGCGACGAGCATCAGCAACACTTGACCCCTGGTCGTATTCAGACAACTTCACACAGAAACCATAGCAACTGCACAGGAGGCTCAACAATAAAGGTTTGGCTCTTTAAGGGTAGTTGTGTAAATACGGTGACCGGCGCTCGCTACACGTCGTTATCTGTCCTGATGTTTACATCAACATTAATGTAAAGCGTTTTCTGCCACCGGTGGCACTGTTGCGGCACTAGACGCACTGGCAATTGATTACAGGCTTTTATTACAATGGTTTTCAACCGGCAACTTTTCTCTGTTGCAACTTCACAGTGGAAAAATAGAGCAAATATTTAACTACGGCGGACCGAGTCAGACAGAAGGTGGAAATGATATTGTAGTCCTTTGAAGGTAATCACAAGTTAATCTTGTTTAAAGGCGTTCAAAGTGAATACTGTTCGTACTGTATTTCATACTGAGACTGAGTTCCAAATAACTCACTTTTACAACATTTATTCACTAAACTGAATATAATCTTACTGGCAGAGGTCAGCTGATGTCTAGTTTTTCAGTATGTTCAGAAATGTGAATATTATGGTCTGGCGTTCACAGCCATCACACCCTGGGTCTGGCTGTGTTCCCTCTGTGCAGCAGCTCTGGTTTAAACCACACAGCAAGAAACGAAGGCTGTAGACAGATGTAGCAAATCCCTGTTACTGGGCTGAAGTTGAGCAAACCTGACAGAACGAACGGCACAAAGAAGTGGGGAACACGGGTGGACAATCAGCACCAACAACTGAGTGGAGGTCAAGGTTCATTATTTGCATACAACTGACTGTTTTTTGCTGCACTCGGAGATAGAAGACAGAACTGCCGCGCTTGAGACATGAATAACGAAAAAAACAAACAACTATTGTGTAAAAACTGCACTCGGAGATAGAAGACAGAACTGAGACATGAGACATGAATAACAAAAAAAACAAACTACACATTAAATATAAGAAAATAGTGTACACAACATGGTAAACATGTTGACAGCCAACAGGCTCTGATTTATTATTAGTCTGCTTTGGAAATTCTGATACTTTATTATTCTGCAGCCTGGGGCTGACAGTACATGACTGAACGACAACATACATGAAGCCACTCACTCTTCAGTGACTTCATGCTGTATATATAGCTACCAAATACAATACTGAAGTTGGTAACATTATGTTGTATAATTGTTTTCTCAGAAGATAATGTTTTTTGACAGATTTATGCTGTAAATAAATTATAAAACTAAACATAAGTGTCAATATCATAAACATTTGATTAGACATGTGACTGGTCCAGATTAACGTCACACAGCAGCTGTTTAGACGGTGGTTACAGACCGACGGCGTCAGATCAAACAAAAGCAGCAGAGTCGTAAACACTCGTTTCATCTGTTCTCATTAGCACAGAAAAATGTTTACAGAAAAATACAGCATGTCTGTGTATTCATCACCACTGCTGTACTCCGCTGCAGCCGTGAGCGTGTGTGGAAGAGAGAGGCACAAACCTGATTATGTATGTGCTTCAAACAAGTCATTTCACTTGTTCCTTCAGCAATTTGGTAAATCTCTAAAAAAAAAATAATAATAATAAAAAAGCAGGAATAACAGTGTTGTTGCGGGAGGATGACAGAAAGTGTGTCAGTTACAGACTAAATATAATTAAGGGGCCATTTTATTTTAGAACAGGAATAAAAATAGAACTTTTTTTTCTTATTTAGTAGTAATACAGTATTTTCACACTGAATATAAGCAGCAACCCCTTTTCTTATTTTGAAAAGATACATACATACACATACATATATACATACAGTATATATGCACATCTATATGTATATACATACATATATACAGTATGTTTATATATATAGAGATACATACATACATATATGTGCGTGTGTATAAATTAGAGGTACATGAAAGTTCAGTATGGAAATATAAAAATGTAAAAACTGTATATATAAATATATATGCATATATTTATAAATACAGGCATCCAATGACTGTATGTGAAAATGGAAAGTACAGCTATTTCACCGTCAGCTCAGCTTGACCTGTATCATCCTCGTCCGTCTGTCCCTTAGGCTCTGGTTACTGACAGAGCAATCAAAGTCACTTTCCCGCTGACCCCCCCCTTTACTCACCCCCACTTAATATCACACTCTTCTGCTCTCCTTTGAAGGACTTTTATAGTTACGGTGAAGGCAAAGGAAGATTGTCGGAGCACAGAAAAATGCACCTTCGAGAGTTTGACAAAAGAAGGTGAGGAGTCAGGTATTTTCTTTGGTTTCACCTGGTTTCCCAAAGTGAAGTACTGTAGTATTTGGAAGGCTGGTTTAATACCTAGCCTCCCCACGAGGTAGGACAGGGGTCAGAATCTGTTTGACCTCTGAACAGACAGAAAATGAAAAGAGCAACAAAAAAAAACAACAATAAAAGGAAGAAAAGTGGCAACAAAAGTGTCACCTGGAGAAAAGATGAAAGTTTTTTTGGAGTAAAAGTGCGAAGTGATTGGAAGCTCGCTCAAGGTGAGAGCTACCGGAAACACACACACACACACACACACACACACACACGTCATTTCTACATTTGTATGATTATAAAGAACATCCATCCAACTCCATACAGGGAAGACGACTGATTCCACTAGTGCTTGAACTAGTGGATGTTTTCGCTGTGAGGCAAGAGCACTTCCCACCATACCACCGTGTGACCTAACTTAATCACGTCCAGCACCAAACGTGTCACGGTGGCTTTTTCACTTCAGACTCCATCTATTTAAAGTCATCAACACGGCCGTGAAGTGTCTGCCCTTCATTTGCTCTTATCCACGTTTGGCTCAATGCCAAGTAAAAGGTCGCTAGATGAGTGGGCCATATCAGAGACAAAGACGGTGGAGGTGGAGGTGGAGGTGGGGTGGGAGGAGGTGGCATTGTCGGGCTGGATGTGTGTGTGTGTGTGTGTGTGTGTGTGTGTGTTCAATTGCTTCCCCTATCTTGGTGAGAGTCACTGCACCAGGGTTCATTTTAGATCGAGGTCCCTGATTGTCCTGTACCAGCAGTTGTCAGTAGCTGCAGCCACTGACTGAGAACAGACAGACACTGGAGCTGATCTGGAAAAACAGCTGCAGCGATTCAACTATGCAAATATTTAAGTGTGGGATAAAAAAAAAAAAGAACACTATAGCGTTATGTGATCAACAGTCAGCACTGCACACACTCACAGACTGGGAGATTTCTGGTTAATCTGATTCACTTGCTGGTTAACTCAGTAGATCCGTGGTGTAGCAGTTAGCACGTCTGCGTAGGAAGCAACAAGCAGGTATAGTCCTAGGTTTGATTCCAAGTGGAACCACATACTTGGCGCCTGTAAGGGGGCAGCCTGTTCCCAAGTGTGGGAAGTTCAAAGTAATTATTTTTATTATTTATCCGAGGATCAAACATTTAAATGGAACATATTTCACTCTGTCAGGGTTTTGGTTTGGACAAGAAGAAAAAACATTCACCGTTTACTGTGACTTAACATTATGTTGCCCTCGCACACCTTCAAACTTCTGTCGTTACCTCCCACATTCAACAGTGGAGGAGACTTTGCCCAAATTGTGGATAAAATTTATTTAATACAACAACGAAGCAGTCAATGTCTCAGAGTACTATGTTAGATTTAGAGCATGTGTCAAACTCAAGGCTCGGGGGCCAAATGTGGCTCACCAAGTCATTTTGTACGGCATGTGTTTTAATAAAATCCATGCAGCAAAGTTTCTTAAACAGATAAATTAAAATGTTTTTTAATGCAGCAATGCATAAAAAACATTGATGTTTTTTATTTATTTGTTTATTTATTAAGTTAATTTAATGTAACTTAAATAAATTATAATCAATTGCAGAAACATTTATGTTTCATTAATACGTTATGGAGTAGTGACATCTACACAGTCTTCCAGTGGAAACTGGATTTCTGATGTGGCCACCAGGTGAAAATGAGTTTGAACCCCCTGATGTAGAGGATCTAACATCAAGGAAGGTTTAATCACAACCAGATCAACGTCATCCTTAGACTGGATCTTCAGACTCTAAGATGAACCGAGACATCAGGGACGTGAACCCACCTTGGCGTTAGCTTTGGTCTTGATGCTGTTTCTGCTGCTGCTGCTGCTGTTGTTGTTGTTGGGGCTGGGACTGGCGTCTTCATGTACTCTGTCCAAAAGCCAGAGAAGGAACTCCAGGGCATCGTGCTGAGAGTTTCCTCGGAACTGAGAGCCATATTTGGCCACAATACTCTGACGAGAAAAGAGACGCAATAATTAATATTTTATTTTCTAACAGGATTTCAGTGATGGACGTTTAGTCATTTTTTTAAATCTCTTTTAAATTACAAAAAATAAATAATTATATTTGCAATTAAAAATACTTAAATACTAGTGAAATATTTCATTACCATTGATCTTTTTTATTAAATTAATAAATAAAATGAACTAATGAGTTAAACTAAATTACTTTTTTTTTTTAAAGAACAAAAGGAAGCATCAATGAATTAACGTGGACATAAATGATGCCAAGTGTTATGAAGCTGGAATATGTTATTTAAAATGATAATTAGATTAATAATTAATTCATGTGTTTAACAGAGGAGACACTGTCTGTCTCTGCAGCACCGTGTGTGACTGACAGGATGCTGTCTCTGCTCCAACAGACACAAAAAAACACATCATATCTGCAGTATCCC